TTGTCCATGAGATTCTGAAAAATCTGTTTCTATGTTTTCCATTCTACTATGGGGCTCAACAGCTGGAGAAATGGATCCTCTACTCTTGAGGGCTTTCAGACTCATTCAGACTTTCACTAGATGGCAGCCTCCACTTTAAATGAGTATCTACTAAATTTCTTGGGCTGATGAAATAATTGGGAGTTGGATGCAACCTTAGCCTCACCATTCTTTTGATGTGAAAGTTAGAGTATCATGCCATAGCAGTTATCTGGGCTAACATGGAATGTGGCATACTTCTGTTGGAAGTACAGTATGCACATTTTCTTGCTCTGTGCACCCAACCCACATCTGAACTACTGGATAGTTCAGTGGTTTAAGTATCTGGCTGCAGAGTCAGAGGTTGGGAGTTTGATTCCCCATTGGGCCTCCTTGAAGGGGCTGGATTTGATGGTCCATTAGGCCTCTTCCAGCTCTACAGTTCTAAGGTGATGGTGGTATTTGATGTCTACTTCCAAATGGAGAAGCAGGGAGACAAACTTTTCTGCAGACTTCTCTTTATAAAACTGAGACACAGGTGAACTACAATACTGTTTTGGAACTTCATCCTATTCAGAGGATGGAAAACACAAATCATATTTCATTCCCCTTTAAAATATTACAGAAAGTTCTGTTAACTTCAGTGAAGTCAGTGGAACTATCTCAGAACTAATGGTTTGAAAAGCAAACTCAAAAACTTTTGTATGATGATAAAACACATAACAAATACGCTTATTTTAGGCGCCTATGTTGGAATGTATTCTGGGTTCAGTTAGTCCTACAATGAACTTTTTTTTAAAAGCAACTTTTCTTTCCAAGGCATGAATATAATCTCATGAGGCAAGTTGAGAGGAAAGTTAGTATTTTCAGAATAGGGATGTTTTAGCACACTGGAGTTCACCAGCAAAGGGGTGAAACTTAATAGAGATTAATAGCAAGTATAGTTTTATTTAAGCTACTTTTATATGCATATAAGGTTGGAAGAATTAGGTACCTCTGTTTACTACCACAATCCTGCTAAATATCAGTGGACATGTTTATGCCTTATAACAAAATGTATCAGATTGCATTAATTGCCTAGTTTTATATGGTATTGCCTAAGTGATAAATCATGCTCTCACATAAATGCTGGTGAGGTCAACTCTGGAATTAGTATCTGAATACTGAAGTCACGATCAGGATTATATATGCTCCCCCCTGTGTTAACTATCGCACCACAGTGGCTCTAAATGGCAAGCTTATATATCTAATATATTTTGTGCATTGGTGTTGTCTAACAAAGCCTACTTAGCTTTTCAAAATAGTACTTTTGGTGTGTAACTGAGCGTATTTTGTGGTAATCAAATACTTAATAATAATTGTGTGCTGTCCAGTCAATTATGACTTATGACTATCGTTTTCAGGGTTTACTAGGTATGGAGTATTCAGAAGTGGTTTACCATTCCCTTCTTTCGGAGGCACCCTGGGACTGTACATCTTGCCCAAGGCTGTATAGGTTGACTCTTCTCCCAGAAAGCACAGCAGGGAATCCAACTCCCAATCTCTGGCTCCACAGCCAGATACCTAAATCTGTGAGTTATTCATTCAACTTAGTAGCCTAATACACTTTGTTAAATCACAGAGCATTCAGTAAGAATAACATGCAATCAACAGTGATTGCAGTCTCCCTTCAGCATTCTAGTCTAGCTGTTTTATTTCTTCTAACATTGAGAGACCATTGAATAATGGATACATAAAGCTCTTATGTTCTCAAAGCAACTTGAGTGGGAATATGAGGAGGTGGCAGAGAGCTCCTGCAGCGTAGTGTGTTGCTCACATTCACATCTCCTTTATGCTGGCATCTGGCAGTAGAAGCCACCACTGCTCTTGGTACACACCCTGTTGGCAACATGTCTTCCACATACAAACTTCTTTATCTTGTATGAGGGAAGAAGAACACATCTGGGTGGAGATGTCCAGATGAATAGCCATCAAGCCATCGTGCAGGGTCCTCTACTACACCTAGCTTGTGAAAAAGATACCTGGAGACAGTTGGGGCCAAGGGTGGCATATGCTTCAAGGAGGGGAGGCATCTCATCCCCTAATTTTTGACCACTATTATCACATAGGGGCCTTCTCTTATATTAAGAGTATTTTACATTATGCTGAGTATTTTTTGGCATGAAGCTGAAACATCTTCGGGGCATCGCCTTCATCTGGAGGTAAAGGAGTGAGGATTACCTCTCCCTGGAAAGAGCATACGTTGAACATATTTAGACAAGGCACAGTATGGCCAGAGTGGTTGGCTCTATATTAGCTCACTGGATTGGGGAGAGGTGTGTAAAAAGCGTTATTTTTTTTTAAAGGATGGTGCTGTTATGGCAGAACTAAAAATATAATAAAATCTGAACATGTGCATTTTCACACTTCTGTCACTGGAATTCAGATACACACAGGTATGACAGGAGAGAACTGCTGACGTTGCCCACTCAATTTATTGTGTCACCTAAATGCTCCCGTCAGCTTTATGATTTGGGTCTCCCCAAAACCAGAAAAACAAACCAGCAAGAAACCATGGATTCCATCCCTGGTTTGTCTGGAAAGAAGCAAACCAAAGAGACCCAACCACAGCTACTTTTACACAATCCCATAAACAAACCAGAGGAAGATGTTCTGTGGTTTATTTTGGCTACAGAACAACTTGTACTCATTCCTGATATGCCTGTGTTTCCTGTCTTCTCATGTGGTGGCACTGTGATTTTTTCAAAAGCAGTTCCTCTTGTTATCTTTTAAACTTCTCCTGGAACTTGGTCTCAGTGACTGAAGGTGTGAGCATACCGATGTTTGTTCTGAGTTGATATGAACTTCATTGTACCATACCCTGGCATTTAAATCGCTACCATAGTCCACACAGAAATGTTTAATTATTGTGGGAAGGTTTTTTTTCCCAAGTGTCCAAACAGTTCCCCTTCTCACTCACCCTTCTCTACTGCTATCATCATCCTCTTTCACTGGCATTTTTTACTAATGTTTAGTAAGTGAAATAGGGCTGAACTAACAAAACATAGGGCAAGCATTTCAATTAGTGCTATATCAGTTCAGTGCTATAGTGTTAAATTTAGCTCAATAGTGCTAAGATAGGAAAAACATATTTTTAAAAACGCAATTTGTAAATTGCATTGCAGTTTTACTCCCTACCACTGTGAACAGAAGGTGAGCAATAGGAGTAAGGTTCACTCCCACATTGTACACCACTCTATGCATCATCAGTGATGTCCTCTGGAAGCAGGACAAAATAATGCAAGTAAAAATGCAAAAACAAAACAATACCCACTCCAATTTCTCTAGGACACACCCTGTGTGCAGGGGTTAAACTGCAGCACTGCAGTGAAGACTCTGCTGATAACCTGAGTTTGATCCTGATGGGCTCAAGTAGCCAGCTCAAGGATGTGTCAGCCTTCCATCCTTCGAAGAGCAGTAAATTAAGTACTGTACCTAGCTCGCTGGTGGGTGGGGCAAAGTGTAGCCTGCATAACTGGATTGTAAACCATCCAGAGAGTGCTTTAAGTGCTATGGGGTGGTATATAAATAGCACAGTTTTGCTTTGTCAAACTCTACAGACTCCTGAGAGGAAGGACCTTCTGTGACCTCAGGGAAGATTGACTACTGGAGAGCCAGAACTCCTAGACTGGGGAATGGGTTCAGTTCTGGTCTGCAAAAGGGTGTTGGGGAAATTGTGCAAGAACAAATTCTTTGCATGCACTGAATTGCAGACAGAATAATAATATTAATTTCAATAAATGCTTCAGAAATTACTGTATAAAGGAACTACTTGTATGAAAAGAATTACTCATACCCCCCCGCCACACACAATTAAAACAAATGCTACATCATATGTGAGCTGCATGTATTGCCTGATCTTGTGGCTTAAACTGCTTAGGAATGAACTATATTTAAATTCATTAATACAGGCTGGGTATCCCACCTAAAAGACTGGGTGAGCCAGAAAAAAAGGAAAAGGAAAAGGGGAAATGCTTTTTAAAAAAACAACTGGAACATATATCAAACAGGATGCTGCTTTCCAAAAGTAACTTGCCCTGCAGCCATATGTGCATATACTTAGAGGCAAGCCCTACTTAATTCAACTGGTCTTAATGCCCTGGGAGTGCTTTCACTGCTAGGGGAGTACTTTATGTAGCTACATTCCTGGAAACAGAATCCAAGAAACAAAACACACACATTCTACTGTTTATGGAATACTCCTTTAATATATTTTCTTGAGTACGACCAAGGTTTGGTTTTGTACTCTGTTTCTCAGCTGATCAACAAAAATGAATCAAAATGCAGAAATATAACTGAGTGACAGCCATTTCTTCTCTTTTCCCCACCCCCATGCTACTGGCACTGGGCCCTCTACTCACAAAAGCTGTTTCTGTGATGCTCCCTTTACAGTGTGCAGTCAGTACACTGAGAAGCTTATTTGGTGCATTGCAGCATACCTTGCTGCAGCACTGGAAACCACCACCGTTTTGCCACATTAGCTCTCTTGACAGCAGAAAAACTGCTAGTCACTAGTTGCTTTGCACTGCTCATTCTCCATGACAATGAGGACGATGCAAGCATGAAGCGTATGCCTGGAAATGCACTGTTAACGATAATGGCAATGGCAAACAAACACAGACACACACATGCACACACAAACTGACAACTAAATGGGATAACCCTGAAAATGGCATGGGATTCCAAGCTGCCAGAAGCACTGGCAGATCTCCACTAAGCACTCAATAATCCCTACAGTAACCTTACAGGCTGTTTACAAGGCTATAAAATATCAAGAGCAATTAACACTTTAACCATAGTAAGCCTTCTCTCTCTCTATCTCTCTCTCTCTCTCTCTCTCTCACACACACACACACACACACACACACACATGCATATGCATGCATGCGCATGCGCGCACACACAGACATGTACACGTACACACATACGGACACTCTGCATACTTTTTCTTTATCCTGTGCTCTCTGAAGTGATTCCTTTTCTTTCTGCAACTTCTCTTTCTCCTCTTGCTCTTCCTTTCTTCTGGCAGCAATGGTGGCTTCCAGGCGGGCAGCCTCTTCCTGCTGCATGCGCCACTGGAGGACCTAAACCAAACAGATATTGGGACACACATTCAGTTCTCTCAGCATCATACCAAGTTAATTCATTTATTCATTTCCAAGACTTTTTTGTTTTCCTAAGGTATTAAAAATGGCTGTTTTGGTAGGAACAAAAGACCTCAAGTTCTCTATAAAAGGAAATGATAGATGAGGATGAATACAATCAGTGCTCAAGAATTAGTTCATTGCTCAGACAGTGTAAGTCGGCAATGACTTCTGTGTTTGCGATAGCTTTTGGTAGGAGACGCATTGCTCAGACAGTGTAAGTCGGCAATGATAGGAGACAACAGCATTAGTGTGCGTGTGAGCAGAACAGGCAACTTCTGTGGACCATGAGCTTCTGACCTGGCAACTCCCCATTCTTGGTTTAAGGAAAAGACTTGGCAGGCATCCAGCTATGAATAATGAACTCACCTAATTCCACCTTATTTCAGGTAGGGTTAACCACCCAGGGATTGGAAGTATAGTTCCCTCCATATATTTTATACTACAATTCCCACCAGTCCTAGCCAGACTGGTGGATGGTAAGAACAAAACATGTGAAAACGGAGTTGGAACCCAAAACATCTGAAGGGCACCAGGTTGCCTACCCTGCCTCACAGCATAGAAACATTGTTTTCAGAATGCTGTAGCCAATATGGCCTCTGGCTTCAACAGAAAGGGAAATAAATGCTTCCACGTTTCTCAGTCTGGCCATGCAAGAAGACACAAAAGTATACAGTACAAGTGAGAAGCTTTTACATTTAGTACTAAAACATATGTTAATATTATACCCAAATCAGGTTAATATCTCCCTTTGAAACAATACTTCAGCCTGCACTACCCTGAAAGTGATACAAGGATGCATCGAACAGGCAGAGATCCTTCTGTCAAGTCACTTTCAGCCCCAGAAAACCCCCAATACTGTCTCGTTTCTATCTTATCCACATATGTAGACATAAATTGGTACATGATGCAAATGTCAAGACATTCCTTGGCTGCAAGGCACCTTCCAAGGTGTCTTCTGCATTCTGTCCCTTCCCTGACATTCACAGGTGGTGACCCAAATGGGAACTTGCCCTCTTACAGTGATGGTACCCATGCAAAATAACAAGTGAACCCTATGCAAGGATTTGTAATATGCCCCAGGCGCAACAAGGTGTAATCGCTGGGATGACTTTGCTCATTCTGAAGAAAACAGCAGACTGCAAGAGCCCGTAAATTTCATTTTTTTTTTTAAAACTACAGCCCAATGTCTCACCATGCTGGCTAGAGGAGGAGAGAAGAGGGAGCCAATCCAGATAATAAAAAGTAAATTTTCCAGGCTCCAATAATATATTACACAGGCCCTCCTCACCATTGGTCATGCTGATGGGATATGATGGGAGTGATAATCCAACATATCTGAGGTACTGTGTCAGATATACAGTACTTTCTCAGAAAAAAATATTCTATCTGGTCGGCAACAGCAATAGTTCAAATCTTGCCGATGCTTTCAATATGCATAAGAATTCATCCCCCACACCTTGTGTAACAATTCTAGCCCTAAGACAGAAAACCAAGAATCTCTTCAGCAAATATATCCTGCTTCTTTAATCAATAAAACTATATTTAATTACAAGCATGAGTCATTTAATCCTCTGATTTATTTAGCAGATCTTTTACTCTAGCCAATGCTGCACTGTTTAAGAATGAAGTGTCAACTGAAAACCCAAAGCAGCTCAGAGGAAGTACGTGTCTTCTTTTGTGCTTATTTACAGTTCGCAGGTCTCAGAAATTAATATGGAACTACCACTCAACTAATTTGCAAGAAGTTAGAGGCAAGCTGCCAGAAACTGCCCTTTTGAGATTCTGCAAATTAACACATTGACTTGGGAATCACATGAACTCAAAGGTGCATCATAAGAAGCTTCCTGTCAGCCTTCAAAGAATTTTCAGAATTTGTCAAAATTATGCATATTGGGGCTGAAACCTGGATTGCACAGAATGGAGATGCCTGTACACCAAGAATACAGCATGTACCATCATTGAAAAAGTATCACTCCAAATTTACTGTCTCTGGGTACATGAAAAAAAGGTTTTAGACCACCACCTTACTTTTCAATCAGTGTTGACAAACATATTTCCACCTGTCCTTCTACTGAAACACTAGTTGTCTGTTGTGATTAAAGACATGCATTTCTATAAAAGGTCATTTCAAGTTGCTAGAGACTTGGTTTAAAATAACACCAAATTTGCTGCAAAAAACAAGATACAGTATGTGTGGCTTTTCCCAATGGCCTATAGAAAAAATATGTTTTAAAAATCTGCAATACTTGCATAGAACTGTCACATGAGAGAGACTATATTTTTGGAATTGTTCAATTCCTTCAAAAATTTTTAGCAGTAATAAGCAATGCATGTTGGCATAAATAATAATTACATATAATTAGTGAAGCAGTTTACACCAAACCCTGAATCTATATATGACAATTTCTCTTTCTCCAACTGGGAAGTGTTATCTGTCTAATTTAATAATATACTGCATACTAATAATTCACCAGCAAACTAGATTGTCAACAGACAAGCTTGCCAATCACAAACATAATCCCAAAGGAGAAAAGGAAGTAAGAAGAGCTACAGCAAGACTGATTTTCATTACTATGCAAAGGTTGTAGCAGAGATGACAATATAGACAGTGAAATTTCTGGACAGGATCAATAATCTTTGAAGTTATTTATAAACATATACCCATCTCGCTTTCTCCTCCTCCACTCTCTCTCTCGCACACAATCCACAACACCTACAACATGCATTTAAAATCAAGATCTTTGCTAAACACACCTGCCGTGCAGGGTTTAACAGCAACTTTTTTTGAAACTTCAAAGGTGACTAGGAGAAAGTTGTAATCAAACAGGTGCGTGTTCCCCCTCACAGCTGGATGACAGCCTAGTTAAATCAACAGGATATGTTGTATGTGAGTCATGTTTATTCAGAAGTCCTATTGTATCCACTGATGCATACAAATGTATGCGCACAAAGCTTTGCCTTGTGTAAAAATCTAAGTACACTTACCAAGAAAAGCTTAGCTGGAATCGTTTTCATGGAAACATGCTTAGCGCTAAGCTACAAATCAGTTTTCGGGCATGACGGGTAAGATAGCAGCTATCATCACACTGTCTCAGTAACACTTCTATGGAAGACCCTGTATTATCAGAATTTGAGGATGTGCACGTTATAATACAGTCTGACCGGTATACACATGCATCACTCTTATACAGAGATTGCCAACCTGTTTTTAGTATTTCCGAGCTTCATCAGTGTAGGATAATCTATATGTTGGTTGAAGAAATCGATAGGAAAATACAGCTATTTTCTCTTGCACAGAAGCTGCCAATGAAAACGTCAGCACAAGAAAATGAGTGGATAGAAGCTATTTGGCTATTTTCTCACTGAAGAAGATACTGTTATCACCTATTTAAAGAAGACAGTTTGCACTGAAGTGTGGAATAATAATAATGAAGGAAGCCAGATCAAGTGCTATCCTTGCAGAGAGATGTGGAAACATAAAAAAGCAGAATGGGTCACAATTTCATTATAATAGCCTATTGTTTTCCTCTAGGACAGCTATAAAAGTCTTGGTTTCCTCTCTCAAAGAAAAAAAATTAACACCAATCTTTGCTTTCAAAGTTTCCAAACAGACTGATTTTTAAAAGGGCAGTTCAACCATTCATAGCTTTGCAAAGGCTACCAAGCTTTGGCCATAATTAGTATTAGAATTTGTAAGCAAGCATCCGTGAGAAAGAACCCTCTCCTCATGCTTATTCAGCAGCTAGACCATCTCCAGCACCTGTACTTTGAGATGAGTGTCGCATGCCTGGACATTAAACAATACAGACTGGGATGGGAAAATATGGGCTGATTTGCACAAGATGGTGAAGTGCTGCAATGTCATTTGCTGGGTCTCTACTTCCTGACTTGGAAATGCCTCTGCAAACACCCACATTCATGTCCTGCCAAGCAATCACACCTTTCACAAAAAGATTTAAGACACAACCAACATAGCCTTGTAGTGTCACAGGAGCAGCTGGTACAAGTTTATGGGAGAAATGGTTAAGCCCAGCAACATTACCGGCTTTTAGGGCCATTAGGCTCTTGCGCATTAGATTTACTTTTTTAAATGTATATTAATCACTGCTAAGTGTTTTAGTGAGCTGATTTTATTCTTTTTTAAAAATTATTTCATAAGCCTATTTGAGCATGCTGAAAGGAATGTGCTTTATTCATAGAGTAAATAAATAAATATACAGATTAGAGGAGCACTGCAACAGCTTCTCTCTGGCCACTTGGAAGGCAAACTCCAAGTCTGAAAGTTTTTTGAAACCACTAACAGAGATGTTTGAGTTACAAAATAAGACTATGATATAACAATATTTGGAAGAAGAAGGAAGTGTATCTGGACTCGGGTTCAACAAAGACTGTTCAGATAAAGTTCCAAAGTTCAGTTCAGATTGCTAGCTCAGTGGTTTAGAGGCTGGGAGTTCAATTCCTCACTGTGCTTCCTTGACGCTGTGGATCTGATGATCCATAAAGTCCTTTCCAGTGCTGCAGTTCTAAGATTATGATGATAGTGGTGACTGCATTCACTGAGTATCCCTAGAAATCACTTACATTTAGGACTCAGTTCCTCTTCTACCGAACTGGAAAGCAGCTATCTATTATACTGTACTAGTTTATTGTGAAACTGAATACAAGTTACTGTGTTCTGTATGAAATAAAATATGCAGTATAGTGGAATGAATCCTATTGATATTTGCTGGGGCATATCTTGATTGCACAGGGACGTGGTGGTGCTGTGGGTTAAACCGCTGAAGTCTCTGTGCTGCAAGGTCAGAAGACCTGAAGTCGTAAGATCGAATCCACATGACGGAGTGAGCCCCCGTCGTCGCTTGTCCCAGCTCCTGCCATCCGAGCGGTTCGAAAGCATGCAAAATGTGAGTAGATAAATAGGTACCACCTTGGTGAGA